CACAAAATCTTCAACTAAGCCTAGAACTTGTAGCTTGAAAGCCAGAAGTCAAAGCCAAAACTAGCCAGACCCAAGAATTCTCGAAATCTGGTCTATAGAGATCTTCTAAGCTCGACTGTAGCTCTAAAAGCTGACCTATAGAGATCTTCTAAGCTCGACCGTAGCTCTAAAAGCTGACCTATAGAGATCTTGCTCGACCGTAGCTCTAAAAGCTGACCTATAGAGATCTTCTAAGCTCGACCGTAGCTCTAAAAGCTGACCTATAGAGATCTTGCTCGACCGTAGCTCTAAAAGCTGACCTATAGAGATCTTCTAAGCTCGACCGTAGCTCTAAAAGCTGACCTATAGAGATCTTGCTCGACCGTAGCTCTAAAAGCTTTATATCAACTGCTTATTGCCTGAATGCAATCTCTGAAAGAATACAAGAAATATCAGAACTTCAACAAGCAAGTTGAAGTGGGAAAGTGAATTGAAGTAATCTATAACTGAGAGCTGGTTGAATGATTCTTTCAGCTTTTCAATCACAGTTTATTTAACGCCCCCCTTTTTCCCTTTGTTTCACTCCATTTCCCAATTGTAAAAGAGACAAAAGTCGTTTCAAGGTATGTCAAATAAGTCTAATATCAGTTCGAATCTATTTTTCATTCGCTATTTAGCATAAAAGGCATCATCGGCATAAATCGGCTATACGAAAGCTTTTCTGATATCATGAAGAGCTTAATGAAAAGAGCTATGCTCAATTGGATGTGTGTGGATGTGGATGAAATGGAGGAAGAGGTTCAATTAAGTTTTCCGTCCAACACAGCCATCTCAATATATTCAATATATTGAAAAGGATAGGCAAAAGGGGAAAAGGGGAATGGGGAAAAGAAATGGATGTGAGGATGGGACTCAATTATGAATATTGGGTGAAGGGATGGGATGTTGAATGAGATGGAGATCTGGGGAAAGGGATGAGGGTATATAGGGATTGAAATGAATATTGGGAAAGTTGTTTGTTTGATGGGATTTAAAGTGATGAGGTTTAAAGGGTTTAAACCAGTATACCAGTTCAGGCCATGTTTTGGCTTTACTGAACACAAAGAAAGCCAGAACTAGAACCAGAAAAGTTTAGGACTAGGTTTAGACTGATCTAAAAATCAAAGAGTTGTCTAGAAACTAGAACAGAGCTTTAAAAGATCTAACGAAGCTCTTAGAGATCTAACGAAGCTCTAAGAGATCTAAGGAAGCTCTAAGAGAGCTAGCAAAGCTCTAAGACATCTAAAAAAGCTTTAAAAGATCTTACAAAGCTCTAAAAGCCAAGATATTACTCTAGAATCGATAGTGGAATCAGCAATGGATTCAATTACGAAAAGAGAGCAATGTTTTGTATGCGGATCCACTCCTGCAGCCTCTACACTTGCCCATCCCAGCGCTAGACCGATAGTACCAATATTGAGCAAAGCAAGATGACCCTTTAGCTATTGAAAGGTGCTGAGGACTATGTGGAGGCTGGTGGAGGGTGGTGAAGAGGCCCAGGGACACATCTCATCGCCTCACCCCCCTTTTTCCCATCCTTGATACCCGTGAATGGCTCTTTTTGCCTGCCTTTTTCCCTTTCTCTTTGCCATTCTTTTTTTCTTTCCCTTTTCTAATGGGATTAAATGGCTGATGGACACGCAAAGGAATTCTCTTATTTTTATATTCTTATATGGTAAAAGGGTAAAAGAAAACTCCTAAAGAAGCTGTCACAAAGTCGCTTGATAACTCGCTTGTTTCCACCCACCTCGCTTGCTTTGATGGTCTAGCGGATAGTGTGCTAGACTACAAAACGAATCAAATCTCTTTGCCTCAAGTTCGAGTCCTATTCTCGTCAAAAAATTTTTCTCTTTTTTAAAAATTGTTTCCCTACGAATTATTGATTTGAGTTACTGAATTATTAGTTATTGTTATTTTGAGTTATTGAATTGTTTCTCACCTAGCTCGCTTGCTTTGATTATCTAGTGGATAGTGTGCTAGACTACAACGAATCAAATCTCTAAAAAAATAAAATAACTTCTTTAAATTAAACAAATAATTTACAAAAGCCAAGCTATTAGAAATATTTGAAAAGTTTAACCGTTTATATAATAACTTAAAAATCTACAACATTTAACATTACTAAATTTCTGAAAGCCACAAATGCTATCAACCCTGAAAGCTACAAATGCTATCAACCCTGAAAGCTACAAATGCTATCAACCCTGAAAGCTACAAATGCTATCAACCCTGAAAGCCACAAATACTATCAATCCTGAAAGCTACAAATGCTATCAACCCTGAAAGCTACAAATGCTATCAACTCTGAACACAATCAACTCTATTCTTCACACAAATACATACGCAAATAGCAAAAAAAAGCAAAGCAAAGCAAAAAAAAAGTTTGACGAGAGTGGGACTGGAACTTGAGGACAAGAAATGTTACAGGTTCGATAGTTTAGCAGACTATCCACTGGAACACCAAAGCAATTGTTTAGCAAGCGTGTGGCAGTTTGTTAAAGAGTCTGAAATCTTGCTCTTTACAAAAAAACTAAACGAATTTGAGACTATAAGATGGAGTTGATTTCTAGCCAAAAGTTCAGCTTGATTTCAAGCCAAAAATCCAGCTCATTCATGCCTTTCTCTTATTTGATCCAGGTCAGACTTGTCCCAGGTCCAGGTCAGGTTCTAGTATATAAAAAGGCTTGGGTTTGGTGAGGTGAGAAAAGAATCGAAAAGAGGCTTCAGTCGAGAAAAAGGGAGAGGTGGACACATGTGTTTGTGAGATGCCTTTCTCAGGGTCTTCACAGGGTCCCCTTCTCGTGTAATTAAGCGCATATGGGACACTCCTAAAGCAAAGGAAAAGAGTAAAAGAATCTATCGGCATCGGATGAATCTGCTTTTGCTCTATTCTCTTTCTTTTTCTATAGATCCCATATGGGTTCTCGGTTGAAAAGAGGATTTGGGGCTTTAAAAAGAGTTTTCAACGTTTTAAGAGTTTTAGAAGTTTTATCGGTATGGGAAATCTTTTCAATATTGATTTGGAAGCGCTTTTCCCATTCTGACAGAAGTTTTTAGCTACTTTCCTTTCCTTCTTTCTTCTTGGAAAGTACCGGAGGGCTAGAGTGGTTAGAGCAATTGCCTGGAAAGCACGTCGAGGGTTAAGAGTTCAATCCCCTCTCCGGAAATCTACTTTTTACCAATTCCTTTACTAGATCTAGATCTAGCTCTAGCTCTAGCTCTAGATCTAGCTCTAGCTCTAGCTTTAGATCTAGCTCCGTTCAAAAACTATGCATGCCAAAGACCGATAGGATCCCAGTAAGTTTACCATAAATACCAAAGCCAACCTTCTAGCTAATTTTCCAATAAAAAAATCCAATACAATCGTCGAGTTCTACTTTATCTGTATCGCATAGATCTAGATAACAAGACTAGTTCCAAAGCTGGATTTATGCCCCATTTCTAAGACTCAAGCACTCTTCTAGTTGATACTGAAAAAGAGCCAAAACTACGTTAATATTTAAGGCTATATACCTAAACTTTTTTAACTATTTAAGTTAAAAAAAAGTTGACTGCAAAAGTGGAAAAAGAGGTACAACGAAAAATGGGCGAACTTTCAAGTACGATTTTTAGAATCAATGCTTTTTGAATTCGAGAATAGAAGAAGGATTGGGGAATTCTCTAAAAATTGAAACGATTGTAATTAGCGGATATTGGAATGGAAGGGAATGGGTTGAGAATGAAAGAATGAAAGAAAAGATATGGAGAGAAATGGGGTAAAATTGGAAAACGGGTGGGGATGGGGAGCGATCTGGAAAGGAAATTGGTCCTCAATAGGAGCAGAGGGCATCCGGGGGTGTTTGAACAGATGAGATCCCGATTCGGGCATTTGAATTGAATGAGTGAACTGGCTGGAGGATATAGCTTGTTATATTGTTGTAATACTGGTGTAATATTGTTGTCCAATGGACTAGCTGGGCAGTTGGGAAGTGAGAACAAGTTAGCAGTTAACCTAGGCCAGAATCTAAGCCAGAATCTAAACCAGAAACTAAACTAGATTCTAAACCAGAAACTAAACCAGAATCTAAACCAGAATCTAAGCCAGAATCTAAACCAGAATCTAAACCAGAAACTAAACTAGAATCTAAGCCAGAATCAAAGCCAGAATCTAAGCCAGAGTCTAAACCAGAATCTAATCCAGAATCTAAACCAGAAACTAAACCAGAATCTAAGCCAGAATCTAAACCAGAATCTAAACCAGAAACTAAACCAGAATCTAATCCAGAATCTAAGCCTAAGCCTAAGCTCCAGGCTGACCCAAGCCACCCTAAAAGCTGTCTAAGCCAAGTCCAAGCTTACGGCTAACTAGGTGATATGAATAGCTTGTTACATTGTAAAGCACTCTACAAGAGCCATAGCTGAACAATCACAGTATAGAATCATTCCAAATCAAAAAAAATCGCATTCAATAGATAAATCTGCCATAGTACTGAGGCAGAAGTGTAGTTGTCGTAGCCGATGATACTCCGATGGCCGAGCTGGGGCGCTTGGAGGGGAACCCACAAAAGTCGAACCCACGACTATGCCATAGTTCAGCTGTGTACAGCTGTTAGACTAGAATCAAAGACAAAAAATTATCATCAGAAATGTACAATCATTACAATCTTCATTTTTACGCAATTGCACGGCTTCTGGTACACGGATTTAAGATATAAGCGAACAAAGTAAAGCAATTCTTTCTTTTCTTTTCCATTTCGGTTTAAATACCCAAGTTTTTGACTTGGCGACAGCCTTGGTGACTTCAAAATAAAAAACGAAACTCGTATTTGGTTTCTTGACTCCAGAAAACCCTCAGCTACAATCTTTTAAGCTTTTAGCTTTATTTCCTGACTGTGGAAGCTGAAAAGCCTTCAAAAAACACGCTAATGTGCAAAGAAATTTCGACTAAATAAATCACAAATTGAAAGCATCTCCTTGTTAATCTACATAAAGTACTCTTTTCATCTTGTAATGTCTTTTATCTACAAACATTTCTACAATACAATCTCATCAATTCCCCCACCTCATCTCCATTCGTTCCACCATTTGTATTCTCGTTTCGTTTCCGAGGAGTGCTCTCGACTTTAAGCTCTTGATGAGTACTGTACTGGGCGAACATTGTACGGCCACGAATCTGGAATTGAAACATTTACTGTAAATTAGAATAGAAAACGAACTAAGAAACTTTTCGGTAAACTTTCAAGTTCTGACTACAAATTAAGGCTACAGGTTGAGGCTATAAGTTAATACAAGTTAATAAGCTGACAGCTTCCAGCAAGCCAGCCTTCCAGTAGGAAAGGATTCCAGTAGGAAAGGATTCCAGTAAGCCAGCCTTCCAGCAAGCCAGCCTTCCAGCAAGCCAGCCTTCCAGCAAGCCAGCCTTCCAGTAAGCCAGCCTTCCAGCAAGTCAGCCTTTCAGCAAGTCAGCCTTTCAGCAAGCCAGCCTTCCAGCAAGCCAGCCTTCCAGCAAACCAGCCTTCCAGCAAGCCAGCCTTCCAGCAAGCCAGCCTTCCAGTAAGCCAGCCTTCCAGCAAGTCAGCCTTTCAGCAAGCCAGCCTTCCAGCAAGCCAGCCTTCCAGCAAGCCAGCCTTCCAGTCGACTGTACATTATAGCATTATAGCCCATTAGCATTATAGCCCTGATACTAAACTAGGCCAGTAGTTTACAATAAACCAGGCTAGATCCAAGTTTGGCTTAAGTAAATCGACCTATTAGCAGCTTACAGTAAAGCTGATACGAGCTATGCATTGGCTTGACAAGTAGACTCTGCGATGCATTGAAACGCAGATTTTGAGCTCTAAATCTAGTAATCTACTGGTTCCCATAAATCTTGAAAACCCTGTATTCGTCAAGCCAATAGATCCAAGTCCAGTTCTAGATTTTCTGAGAAGTCAAATCTGTTTGTACTGGCTTTTCTGGCCTGGCCCTGACTCTTGACCTGACCCGGAGTACGGCTGCTATGTAAAAGTGCATTGTAGCGTAGTGTACAAAATTCAATTCACCTGTATCGGCACAGCAGCCAACGAGTCGCACATCGTCGTCGAGCACATCTGTTCTTCGAATTCAACGAAAGCCTGAATCTCATTTTCACCAGTGACATCCAGATAGTTAAATCGGACCTGATTTTTCCCCTTCAGCAACATGTAGTTGTTGATTTTCCCGTATTGCATGCAAAAATGGACCAGCTCAACGTCAACCATATCCGAAGGAATATTCCGCAAATGAACTACCTGAATAGATTTATTTTTTCACAGGCTACAATACTAGCTAAGCTTTTCTTTATACATTTTCTTTAGACCTTTTCTTTACAATGCCATAAAAATCTTGTCTATCTAAATAATGATTAATTTTAGGTAATCGATATCAGAAGAATGGAAAAACGATAAATTTGGATGATCTTTTTGTATGACTTGTATGACTTGAAGCTTGAATATAGCGCTAGATCAATCGTGCATTTGGTCTACGTCTGTTACTGCTCAAGTTTTGTTCAAATAATTCTGGGAAGGATGAGGATCTTGATAGTGAGGATCTTGATGACAAGGGGGGGTGGCTTACAGTAAAGCTGATCAGAGCTATGTATTGGCTTGACAAGTAGACTCTGCGATGCATTGAAACGTTGATTGATGATGATGCAAGGCACATTGATGATGATGAAAAGTTGTCAAAACCAATCCGACGACTGAGCCAGAACTAGCAAAACACTTCAATGTAGGAATTGATCACTTTGATTAACCATAAATGATCACGAAGGATATTGGAAAGATTAAAAAACTGGAGAAGAGCTGGAGAGGATAACTGGAGAAGAGCTGGAGAAGTGGATACCTTATCAATTAGACGGCCGCCAGAAGTTTACACGCTTTCTTCCTGCTTCTCGAAAATCTCGGAACAATAGAGATCCATTTTTGGGCCAGCTGATTACTGATCGGCTGATCGGCTGACGTAGATGCTATCTGGCAATCGAAAACGAAATTCAAAGTGGTTAGACAAAGGAGAAGCGTCTTTCCTATGCTTTGCTATGCTTTTTCTTCTTTGTTATGCTTGAACTTGAACAAATTGAAGAATTTGATCGTCTTCAGTCAATCGAAAGAATCTAATTCGGCTGCAGGACAATGCTCGCCTATACGTGTCTTTAAAGACACACAATTGATTGCAATGCTTAGAGATTAAAGTTCTTACTCATCCGCTTTATTCGCCTGATCGTTCTCCAATAGATTATCACTTTTTCAAGCATCTCGATTACCTTATAGACAAAATTTTCAAGAACAAAAGAGAGGTGAAAAATGCTACGAAGATTTCATCGCTACGAAGGCACTATTTGGATAATCTACAGTGCTGCCATTTTCTAAATAGTGATCGATTTTGAGCGTAATTCTTTACCCGACTCGGTTTTGGTGGTGGCCCACTGTCGACATTTCGGTGATTACTGGTGGAAGAGGGAAGATTTCCGGGGAAATGCGAGATCGACATCGCTGATGAGACGGGAGCCATCGCGATCTCGAACTAAACGATTCAAGATTTGCAAAATCTGGATGTCACATCAGGTTTTTAACAAACCTGAGACAGTGGAGTGCCGGTGAGGAATTGAGCCGACAAGCCTTGGGGCATTAAATGGCTAAAGACGGCCGCCGCGGCACTGCCCGGATCCAGTTTTGCCTAAAAAAACTCGAATAAGCAACAGCAACAACAACAGCAACAACAACAATTATCTATTTATAATGTATAAATACTTTCAAAAGAAGTCTAGAAAGTAGGCGTTTACGAGAGAGTACAAAGTACATGAATTGTAAAGCTTTGGAAAGTAAAATAACGTCGAAAATCTCTTTCTTATAAGTTTAATACTCTTAAAACATGACTTAAATAATATTTTATAATAATAATTATCTAAAAACAAAGATTTTTGTAATAAAAATTGGAAGGAAATAAGGGAAAAGCTAAATTTGCATTTTTTTCTTGAGAATACTAATGAAATTGTGGATTTTTTCTAAGAAATTCATTGATTTTTCATTGATTATTTCAATTTTTTATAAAGAAAAATGATTAAATCTTTTAAATTTGAAAGAATTTGAAAGAATTTGTCAACTTTTTTGAGTAGTTTGTTCTTTTTTTCTTTTTTTGATCAAAATCGATCACTACTTCTGCGAGATTTGCATGAAAAACGTTTGGAAACGCGAGAAATGGGAAAAAAAAAGCTTTTTCTACAGAAAATAAAATACCTATCAAATATTTGATGAATCTTTTTCTAGAATAATATCAATATTTAGACATTTAACTAGGTTTGTAGATAGCTGGCTTGCTAAATGCTGATCAAAGCTGGTTGAGAGATCAGCTCTTCTGCTGGCTCTTTAGCTGGTTCTTTAGCTGGTTCTCTAGCTGGTTCTTTAGCTGGTTCTTTAGCTGGTTCTTTAGCTGGTTCTTTAGCTGGTTCTTTAGCTGGTTCTTTAGCTGGTTCTTTAGCTGGTTCTCTAGCTGGTTCTTTAGCTGGTTCTTTAGCTGGTTCTTTAGCTGGTTCTCTAGCTGGTTCTTTAGCTGGTTCTTTAGCTGGTTCTTTAGCTGGTTCTTTAGCTAACTCTCTTGAATAAATATTTCTAGTTTTTTTGTAAACTTAGATCTAAATCTATAACTATATCTATATCTATAGATTTTTAGATAGCTGTCTTGCTAAAAGTACTGACAAAATTGGTCAAGAGATGCGCTCTTCAGCTGGCTCTTTAGCTGGTTCTTTAGCTGGCTCTTTTGGATAACTTTTTCTAGTTCTTTTTTGTAGATCTTAGAGCTATATTTAATCTATAGCTATATCTATAGATTTTTATATATATATAACTAGATTTTTCGATAGCTAGCTTGCTAAATACTGATCAAAGCTGGTTGAGAGATGGGCTCTTCTGCTGGCCCTTTAGCTGGTTCTTTAGCTGGTTCTTTAGCTGGTTCTTTAGCTGGCTCTTTTGGATAACTTTTTCTAGTTTTTTTGTAAACCTTAGAGCTATATCTAATCTATATCTAATCTATATCTAATCTATATCTAATCTATATCTAATCTATATCTAATCTATATCTAATCTATATCTAATCTATATCTAATCTATATCTAATCTAAATCTAATCTACATCTAATCTACATCTAATCTACATCTAATCTATATCTAATCTATATCTAATCTATATCTAATCTATATCTAATCTATATCTAATCTATATCTAATCTATATCTAATCCATAGCTATATCTATAGATTTTTAGATATTCAATTGAAAATCCAAACCTTTTTCGCTTCTTGATCGATGGTCATGACTGAGTTGAAAACGGAGGCATTTGGTGAGAGAAGATCGGGTCCACGCTGGAAAAAAAAAGGAAATTGATAGAGATATTGATAGAGATATTGATTATCTAAATCTCTTTATTAATTTTAGATATATTTATGATAATTTAAGCATTTTACTACACGTTTATCTCCAAACTTTCAAAGCTAAGCAGTTTAGGGGAAATTTGGTCAACTTTAGATCAAAACAAGGGATAAATTGACACTAATTATCTAAAGATTTCGAAATATGTAAAGTACAATAAGCTCTAGAGAGTTCTCTAGCTTATCTAGCAAATCTAGCTATCTAGCTATCTATCGAGTTTCAAATGACATCTAGCTTCGGTGGCACTGACTGAGCTAGGCGTAGGCTTCGTGAAAGCCTTAGAAACGACTTTGTTTTTACTAAAACATCTTCAATTTATTAAAAATCAAAAAAAAAACTCAATTTTAAATAGACTGAACTCGAGATTTCTTTTGATTTAAGCAAAATAAAAACAAACAATCTAAACCCAGTTAAAAGACACTTTTGTTCAATTGATTTCTTTGAACAACTCTTTCCACAATAGTAATAAAGTATAACTCAAAAAAAAAAGAAATAAATAAATAAACAAATAAATAAATAAACTCCTTTTCCCTTTCAACAATAGAATATTCAATTTAAAGAGAATAATAAGGTGAAGTTGAAAAAATTCTCGTTGAGGCAAAGAAATTAATTGCGTCAAGAGATCAGATATGAAATTGAAAAGTGAATGAGAAAGTGTGAAGAAAAGAAAAGAAAGAAAGAAAGGAAGGAAGTAAAGAAAGAATGAAAGAAAGAATGAAAGGAAGTAAAGAAAGACAAGAAAGAAAGACAAGAAAGAAGGCAAGAAAGAAAGGAAGTAAAGAAAGACAAGAAAGACAAGAAAGAAAGAAAGAAAGAAAGAAAGAAAGAAAGAAAGAAAGAACATTGCAAATGCCCAAAAATAAGTCTCTTTTACGAAATTGTTACCAAAAAGCAAAAAAAGAGATCGTGAAATTAAAAATCGTCATGGCGATTCGGGGAAAAAAAACTGGGAAATTCGATGAAAACCCGGGATTTGAGAGATTCTCTGAGTACTATTTGACATCAAGAGTCTAAATCTGACCTATAAGGCTGTTAGGATCAAATTAGAAATCACATTCACTGACAGGCTTACTGAAAAAAACCTTAGATTTCAGCGCAGTGATGGTGGATTGGTGGCTGATCTTTGTGCCATTCGAAAGCCAAAAGTTTCCTCGATTTTCTGGTAAAAATAGTTCCTAAAAATAGCCATTCTAGCTTTTTTTGTATCTTTAATCTTGGAGTTTTTCTAGTATATTGGGTTAATTGGTTTAAGTAAGACCGCAAAAAACATACTGATCTAGAACCTGGACCTGGATCTGGATCTGGATCTAGATCTGTTTCTGGATCTGGTTCTGGATCTGGACCTGGACCTGGTTCTCAATCTGGACCTGGAACTGGACCTGGATCTGGACCTGGATCTGGTTCTTAATCTGGACCTGGACCTGGATCTGGACCTGGACCTGGATCTGGATTTGGATCTGGACCTGGACCTGGATCTGGGCCTAGATCTGGTTCTTAATCTAAATCTGGACCTGGACCTAGATCTGGACCTGGATCTGGATCTAGATCTGGATCTGGATCTGGACCTAGATCTCGACCTGGATCTGGATCTGGATCTGGATCTGGTTATGGATCTGGACCTAGATCTGGATTTGGACCTAGATCTGGCTCTGGATCTGGATCTCGGTATTTCACAATGATCAAGAATTTTTTAAGGTTAAAAGCTAGGATTTCATAACTGAGATGAAGATATTGCTTTTTATTAGAATTTGAAAAGAAAATAAGTAAAAAGGCAGCTCGATGAAACGGTTTTTCCCCCAAAACAGGGGTGCTTAGGGTCCAAGAGATCTTGAAAGCTAAAGAAAATAAGAAAAGAGAAGAAAACTTTCTGGGTCTCTTCAAAGAAAAAAAGCGAAAAATGAAGGAGAGGCTAAGGAGAGGCTTTTCTGGAGAAAATGGGGAAGAAAAGGGCTCAACACTTGGAATTAGCTTGATTAAGTTGAGTGAGGGGAAAAGAAAATGAGAGTAAAAAGAGCGAAAAGCTATGGAGGTGGGCTTAAATAAGGATAGATTCGGCTAAATTATGTCTTTATGATGATCTGGTGAAAATCGGGGGAAAATTGGTCAAATTTAGGCCTGGAACTTGGATTTTCTGGGAAAGCCCATGAGTAGATGTATGAGTTTTAAAGTTTTAGATGTGGCTAGAGTGGATGAAATGGTTAAAGTAGGCTTTGATGGCTTAAAGATGGCTTCGATGGCTTAAAGATAGCAATATTGAGTTAAAATTTGATCAGAATACGGGAAATTGATCAAATTTGACTTGCAAAAACTTTTGAGTCGTTTAATCGATGGATTTTCGATGAAATTTTGATTTTAGGAAGCTTTAGATAATAGATTTTTTAATAAATTTTCAAAATAAAGCTATTTTAAGAGAATAAAGTGAAAAAAGAAACGAAATCGATTGTTTATTTGAAGGAGAAAGGTGAAGTGTGTAAAAATAGAAAAAAAAGGGAAAAAGAAATCAGATATGAAATTGAGAGGCATGCTTGGAATAAATTATGTAGAAAAAAAATGACTGGTAGATTGATTGATAGGAAAAGTTTGGTTGAAACATGTATCCGTATTGCTTTATGGCTGCAGAACCTTGTCGGTAGTCTAGCTCCTTTTTGTAGACACGGATTTCAAAAACAGTTTGGGTTTTAACTTATCTGGAATGCACACTAAAACTTGCTGCAATCAGATTTTTGATTTATTCAAATAGAAAAATTTCCCTTTTGGCGGACCCCCTATGGGCCCCAGCTGGCTCTATTTTGGCTTTACAAAAACATTTCAAATCTCGGTTTTAACTTATCTGGAATGCACACTCAAATTTGTTGCAATCAGATTTTTGATTTATTCAAATAGAAAACTTTCCCTTTTAGCGGACTCGTTGTGGGTTGCTGGGACTTTTGATCAAAATCCGGGCCCTCATGCCTAGCTTAGCCTAGTTCATTTCAGTTATGGAGCCCTAGATTTACTCAAGATTAACTCTAGATGCACAAATAGACAAGGCAAAAGCCAAGCCAAAGCTAAGCCAAAGCCAAAGCCAAGCCAAGCCAAACCAATGCCAATGACTTTCAATTGACTTTGGATTTCAACTTTACCTTTGAATTTGGCTTAAAACCTCGGCTTTGGCTTGGCCTGAAAATTTGGCTTTTTTGCACCCCAAGTCCATAGGCTAGTTAGATTCAAGATTTTTAGCTTTTTAGCTTTTTTGCCAACTCTTGTGGACCCTAGTCCTTAAACTAAATAGATCAAAGATATAGAAAGTATCAACTAAAGCTCTTAAGCCTAATCAAAATCTATGAAACAAATGGAAAGAAAAGAATGAATTAGACGCAATGAATGCTATTGTAGCCTCTTTGAATATGAAGCTTTGATCTTGATATTGTTTGAAATTTGATTTAATTCAACTAATAGATTCTCATTAATAGCATTGATAGAATCGAGAAATCGTGAAATCTATTTGAGAATGAAGAGATGAGACAATGTTTCTTTTTAAAGGGTGTGAAGGGGAAGGGGAAAGAGGAAGAAGGGAGAAGAGGAAGAAGGAAGAAGAAGAGAAAGGGAGAAGAGGAGAAAGGGAGAAGAGGAAGAAGGGAGAAGAGGAAGAAGGGAGAAGAGGAAGAAGGGAGAAGAGGAAGAAGGGAGAAGAGGAGGAAGGGAAAAGAAAAGAAAAGAAGTGTCGCGTGCGAAACGGTCATTCCCACTCCAAGAAAAGCTGCAAAAAAGACGAAAATGGTCAAAAAGATTCAAAGAGAGCTTAAAAAGGGTCCTATAGATTTCTATAGCTTATAGATGGAGTTCTACAAGAGTGACAAGAATAAATGAAACGCAATGAATGTTTCTTATTCTTCTGATTCGGGATTTCTCTGCTCATTTCCGTTTCTCTTTAGTTCTCTGCTTGTTTCTCCTGACATTATTGATTTATCTTGTTATTGATTTATCTTGTTATTGATTTATCTTGTTATTGATTTATCTTGTTATTGATTTATCTTGTTATTGAAGCACGTTTGGCTGACTGGTTAAGTGTCTTTTATCTTAATCGGAAGGTCGAGGGTTCGAACCCCACATGCGACATGGTCACCCCCTTCGGATTTCCTTTCCCTTCGGGTTGAGAGGTTTTCTGGAGGGCAGTCTGGTGGCTGTGGCCCCAGTTCTTTAAAGTGACAAGCCACTCCTTCATCGTCATCTTCCCTTCACCACCAAAAAAGCTATTTAGTTCCCCATTGAGCTTAGGGTTAGGGAGCCGTCTGTCATGACGTGGGTTAAGTTAAGATATAGCCTAGTATTGTGTGTGTCGTTGTATTGTGATTGATATATTTCGTGAATGCGATAAATTCACCACTGGTAGCCCCAGTCGGTATTTTTTTTTATTGGTTTATCGATTTATCGATTCTTACAGTATTTTAACAAACTCGCCTGCTTATTTCTATAAATCAAAGTTTTCTAAAGTTAATCAAGAGAAATAAGTAATTTGTTTAAGTGTTAAAAAGATGAAAATCGTCTAAAAGATCTTTGAAACTTTGAACTGAAAAAATTGGGTGAAAAGAGGGTGAAAAGAGGGTGAAAAGAGGGTAAAAAGAGGAAATAAAAAGAGTTAAATTAAGAGAAAAGACGATTTTCTCTATTTTAAAACTCTAAAAATAAACATTTCTTTACTTTTTCCATCATTTCACTCACCTTTGCCATCGATTCACTTCACTTTTCTTGATTGACGTTGGATGAAACATACGAATATTACATGAAGATAAACCACTAGATTCTATTAAGTAAAATATAATAGAAATTATGAAATCTAAGATGAAAGAAAGAAAGAAAGAAATGAAATGAAATGAAATGAAAGAAAGAACTAAGAGGAAACAAAGTGAATGAGCTGACGAAAGAAATCTTTAACGAATTTCTGTACTTCAAA